CTTTCTTGCCACTTTTGAGAGCAGCGTGGGATAAGGTCCTTAGTGTTGCTCTTTGCTGCTTTTGCAATTGTGTAATCCTTCATTATGTCATGGAATTGCTGAAACTAGTTGTGCATTAGGAGAGAATCTTGTGACTTGAGATCCAAAATGGTAACTTTTACAAACTCCGATTTTTATCTCTGTTACTGTGATTGTCACTTTCCTAGCAGCCTGGGAGGGAGACCTGTTTCTACAAATAGTTTTATACAAACAGCTATACACTGAACAATTTATTAAAAATGGGTATGCTTGTACTTGTAAATTTTGTACTTTCCTCCCAAAAGTGGCTCAAAAGAATGGCAACATAAACATAACAGAGGTCTAAGTTGCTGCCTGTGCCAGCAGATTTTAGGCAGCAGTACTAAATAACCTAAAGCAGTGGTGGCAAACCTATGGCATGTGTGCACGTGCACTAATCTGCACCACTCATGCCAAGAAAACTGCATGACAGATTAAAATGACTGGAAGATACATAACTTCAGCTGTTTTTAATCTGTTTTAAAGTAAGATTTTAATTGGTTTTTATTCTGTTGTTATTTAATACTGTTCTAAACTTAATTTTGTATGTTTTTTTAAAAAAAACAATGTGTGATTTATTGTTTTCTCTGTCTCGTACACTGCCTTTAGTCCCAGCCTGGCAGAAAGGTGGGATAGGAATAAAGAGATGGATCAATAGATGCATATTTCAGGGCTTGAAATACCTCTCCAGATGGTTTCTGGACTGCAGCTAGCATGATTTCTCCACATTTACTATGCTGGCTAGGGCTGGTGGGAGGCAGAGCACCAGTTAGCACACACACACACACCCCGTCATAGAGTTTGGTTTTGTAGCAGAAAATGTCACTTATTTGCCTTGCTCTGGGATGGTTCCCAGCTCTTGGTTCTGTACTATGCCAAGCAATAAAAGGCTCAGTGAATCTTGCTGTGTTGATATGCCCCTATGGCTTAATGGTCAACTTGCGATGTTTCCTATGGATCCAACTGCTTTGAGGTAGAGCAGGCTTTCCATAGTTACACTATCTTTCCAAGAACAATACATTTTCCAAGAATAAGACATTTTATGCATGTTCTCTGCATGAAGCAGGCTTTTCTGTACAAGTTTTGCACAAAATAAGTTTTGAACAGCAAAGACTCTCTATAATCCAGAATTCTTAAGTTACTTGACACTCAAATAACTCAAGAAAAAAACACGTTTTTCAACTTTTTGGAGAGAATATTTTGTAATACTCTTTCCATTCCTACACAGTAGCCTCCTTCCCATAGAACAGTGGTGGCGAACCTATGGCACGTGTGCACCATCGTCCCAGCACACAGTTCGCCAGAATTTGTTACTAGAAAGTCAGAGGGATGCGGCGCTTTGCGATAAATAAATGGGTTTGGGGTTGCAGTTTGGGCACTCGGTCTCTAAAAGGTTCACCATCACTGACGCAAAGGAAGCAGATCCTAGCTGATCTTGGAAGCTAAGTAGAGTCAGCCCCAGTTAGTACTTGGATGTGAGACCACCAATGAATAGCAGGTGCTATAGGCTATATTTCAAAGGGAGGAACTGGCAAAACTACATCTGTATATTCCCTGCCTAAGAAAACTCTATGAAATTAATGGGATTGCCATAAGGGACAGACAACTTGAAGGGTCATGGCTTACTCTCATTTGTACAGTTCAGAATTCAAAGATATAGCTGTGTTAGTCTGTAGAATCAGTAGAGACAACTTATAGCACCTTTGAGACTGACTGACAGAAAGACATTGGCAGCATGAGCTTTTGTAGACTTAAGTCTAGAGATGGGCAATGTTTTGACACTTACTTTTTCTCTTCATCAGTGTTCAGTGTCCTGTGGGAGAGGTGTTCAGCAGAGAAGTGTCTTCTGCCACATTGGTGCTCACAAAACAACTAGAGAGACAGAATGCAATCAATCCATCAGACCAGTCTCTGAGCAGGAATGTCAAACAGCTGGATGTGCTACCTACAGTTGGGAAACAGA